TCCCGGGGCGCTGCCATTGAGGGTCCCCTCGGAGCCGCCGCCGCGGCGCCCGCTCTTCTCGGTCAGCGCCGGCCCCTCATCGCCCAGGCGCTGACCCGCCGCGCCGCTGCCCGGCGTGCACACGCTAGCTGCTCGCTGCGCTGAGCGGCCCGAATTCCCTCCCCCAAGCGCCCGTCGGCCGCCCACAGAGAATCCCCGGCGAGCGACCGCTACAACTTGAGAAGGTGGTTGGTACAGGCAAGGGAGTGTGTGCGCGTGTGCGCGCGCGCGGGGGCGCGCGGCACGGGGGCGGGGCCTCTCGGTGGGGGGGAGGAGTTTGACTGACAACTTCCGCGGGGTCCCGCCAGCCTCTCAGGGCAGCGGAGGGGGGAGGAGGGGAAGCATACCAGCTCCCTCAGCCAATCGCGCGGCTAAGCGGCAGGAAAGGGGTGGGGCGTGGTCGCCTGGGCGGTCTGTCAAGCGTTGGGAGGGGAGGCAGAGGAGTGGGCGTGGCTGTGTGACGGGCTTCGGCCACAGCCAACCGTAAGTGAAGAGGGCGAGCGGGGTGCCATCTGCGTCACCACAGTGTAACAAATCTCTCGGGAAGGAGGGAAGTGGCCCTCCACCCGCGGGCACTTGTGCACGCCTGCGCCACAGCTACGGGCTGTAATTGCTCTCCTGACAGCTCACGGGCAGAAAACTTGAGAGGGGGAGTTCAGAGAGCAAAATACGGCGCCCTTCCCTTCCCTTCGCCTCTGCTGGCCAATGAGGAACTGTAGCGACTGGTGGGGAGCAGGAGGGCTAGGGCGCGAAAGATCGCCAGGTGTTACGACACTGAAAAGGGCGGAGCAAAGGTCGGATGGGGGACCGCGTGGTGTGATTGACGGGCCCCAGAGAAGGCGGGGAGGTGAGCTCATACAATCGTTACGAGATAGTGGGCTCCTGGGCGGGTCTTGAAGCCTCTGTGGCCCTAAGCCGCGTAATTGGCAGTTACAGAATAAATTTGTAGCTTTCGGATGGTTCAGCTCCCGCGTGGTGTTTGGGCAGTCTAGCGTCTACTGCTTCAAAGAGTTCTGCAAGTCGACGGCCTCCAAAGAGAGGTTTCTCGTTCCCTATTTAGAATCCTAGTTTTCACTCCTTCAGCCAAAGACCTTCAACTACTCCAACGAGAAGAGTACAAATTCACTGGTCAGTGGTTTGTGGATTGGAGGCTTGCCATTTACTCTTAATGGGATTTGGGGGGGGGAGGGGAGGGAGATTCCGTCTAGATTTTTTTTTTTTTTTTTTTTTTTGAGTTGGAGTCTCACTCGGTCGCCCAGACTGGAGTGCAGGGGCCGCTCCCGGCCACCGCAGCCTCGACCTGCTGGGCTCCGGCGATCCTTCCGCCTCAGCCTGCCGAGTAGCACTACAGGCGCGCGCTACCACACCCGGTTAATTTTTGATTTATTGTAGAGATGAGGTCTCGCCAAGTTGCCCAGGCGGGTCTCGAACCCGCGGGCTCAGGCAATTCACTCACCTCGGCCTCCCAAAGTGCTAGGATTACAGGCTGAGCCACCGAGCCCGGCCGATTTTAAATTTCTTAACAAGGATTCATTATCTCAGTTTTTTGTGCAGTGCTTTCCATTTAATGGTAGTTAATAAGGGATCTGAACAGTCTATCTCCCTTTGCGCTGGTGGATCTGAATCTGCAATCCTCTCCCTCGAGCGCCAGACCTTTTTCTTTTGAGATAAAAAATATTTAAGCAAATACTTACGCAGATATTTAAGTGAAGCTACCTGGTGAATGTGCACAGAAAATTCCAATTTTGAGTAGGAAGTTGAATTCTAGAACTAGAAGCAAACATATTATCCTCAAAACATCGTCTCCTTCAGAGTCACTGGGTGGTGAAATTGTACACAATCCTCTCAGTCAAGGAGTTTCAAACCTCAGCAAGATTTCTGACGCTTTTCTCTCTCTCATCAGTCAAGCTCCAGATCTTGAATATACCTTCACAAATGTTCAAAACCAGGCCTTTTTTCAAATTTATACAACCCACCACCAAACATAGTTCAGGACTTTCAAAATCACTGCCAGACCAATCTTGTAAAATGCCACATTTATCTGCCCATGTGAAGAACCACCCAATGCCTACAAAATAGTGTTCAAATTCAAGACTTTTCAATCTAACTCCCAGTTGTTTTTCCAGGTATAAATCTCTCCATGTGTCTACACAAACTCTTTTAGTTTAGGCACATCATTCCACATACTGACCCCTAAAAGTATTTGTTGTGCTTCTTCAACACTTTGTCTCTGCTGTTCCAGCATCTTGAAATAATCCACTTTCCCCCCATCTTCTTGGAACATTTTTTCTTCTAAACCCAGCTCACCTCCTTTTTTTTATGAAGCTGTTCGTGACAATCCAGCCAGAGGTGATGCCTCCCTTCTTTGTATTCCTATTGCACTTATTGTCTGCATCACTCACTGGGTCTATCATCACATACTGTCTGAGATGGCAGTATGATCTCCCCCCTACCCAAAGTCTGTAAACACCAAGAGAGCAAGAACTCAAGTATTTTACACCTCTTTATCCCCAACGAGCACAGGATAGATAGAAAGTACATAACAATCAAATTTGTAGTTCTCAACAGCAGGGTTTCTAAAAGTGTAGTTGTTGGATGGATTACCTGCATCACAATCGTCTGGAGTGGTTATTTAAAATGTAGATTCCTGGACCTCATCCCCAACACAGACTCAGAACCCATGGGAAAAGCACTGAGAAATCATTTTAGTAAGGTCCCGGCTGCGTGTGCTGGCTCCTGCCTGTAATTTCAGCACTTTGGGAGGCTGAGGCAAGAGGATTGCCTGAGCTCAGTGGTTCGAGACCAGCCTGGACAACTTGGTGAGACCTCATCTCTACAGCATATCAAATCAACTAGCTGGGTGTGGTAGCACTGGCCTGTAGTTCTGGCTACTTGGAAGGCTGAGCTGGAAGGATTGCCGGAGCCCAGGTCGACGCTAGGGTGACTATGAGTGTGCCACTGCACTCCAGCCTGGGCAACAGAGTGAGACTCCAACTCAAAAACAAACAAAAAAGATCAAGTCAAAACCTGAAAAGAGAGGATGACACTCCAGATTCAAGGTGCCAAGCATTTTAGAGGGGAAAGAACAATAGCTCAAGCATCAAAAGACCTGATTTTATATTATCAATAGTATGATCCTATCAGAGCCTTAGTTTCCACATTTGTACATCAAAAAAAAAAGAGCCGGGTTCGGTGGCTCAGCCTGTAACCCCGCGCCTTGGGAGGCTGAGGTGAGTGGATTGCCTGAGCCCGTGGATACGAGACCCGCCTGGGCAGCTTGGTGAGACCTCATCTCTACAATAAATCAAAAAATTAGCCGGGCGTGGTAGAGCATGCCTGTAGTTCCAGCTACTTGGAAGGCTGAGGCTGAAGGATCGCCGGAGCCCAGCAGGTGGAGGTTGCGGTGACCAGGAGCGGCCACTGCACTCCAGTCTGGGCGACAGAGTGAGACTCCAACTCAAAAACAAAAACAAAAGTGAACAGCCTTCTTCACAGGGTTGGTATGAGTTTTAAATGTAACACATGAAAGAAAACACTCAAGGAAGTGAAAATTATACAGATGATAATTTTATACATATATTTAGCAAACATTTATTTATTTTCTAATTACTGTCTTAAGTAAATAAGGTATCTGGGTCCTAGACAAAGATTTAGTCTCTGAAATCTTATAAGAAAATTGCAATGTCGTTCATCTTATCCAAGGCGATCTACAGATTTAACTCAACACCCACTAAATTACCAGCAGCATTCTTCTTAGACCTGGAAACTACAATACAGGAATTCATATGGAAATATAAACAACCACGAATAGCCAAAACAATCCTCAGAAGAAAAAAAAAAGGAAGGAGGCATCACACCCCCAGACTTTAAGCTTCCTTATAAAGCTACAACAATCAAAACAGCCTGGTGTTGGTACAAAAACAGGAAAATAGACCAATGGAACAGAATAGAGATTCCAGAAGCAAAACCTCAATTTCTCAACTAACTCATTTTCGACAAATCCTCCAAAAACAACCACTGGGGAGAGGAGAACCTATTCAGTAATTGTGCTGGGAAAACTGACTGACCACATGCAGAAGATTAAAACAAAACTCCTACTTATCACCATACACAAAAATCAACTCTAAATGGATCACAGACCTAAATGTAAAACCTCAAACTGTAAGAACCTTAGAAAATGCAGGAGACACCCTTATGGAAATTGGAACTGACAACAATTCCTGATCAAAACCCCAAGTACCCATGCCATAAGAGATAAGATACACAAGTGGGACCTCATCAAACTGACAAGCTTCTGCAAAGCCAAAGAAACCATCAAGAGAGCAGGGAGACAGCCCCAGACTGGGAAAAAATAACTGTATATCTGACAAAGTCCTAACATCTAGGATCTACAAGGAACACAAATGAGCTGAAAGAAAAAAAACAAACAGTCCCATTACAAAGTGGGCAAAAAATATGAATAGATACTTCTCAAAAGAAGACATATGAGCAGCCAACAGATACATGAAAAAATGCTCAGCCTCACTGATCATCAAAGAAATGCAAATTAAAAGCACACTGAGATACCACCTAACTCCAGTCAGGTTGGCCATCATCAATAACTCAAAAAGCAACAGATGCTGGAGAGAATGTGGCGAAAAGAGAACACTTCTACATCATTGATGGGAATGTAATCTAGTACAGTCTCTGTGGAAAACAGTGTGGCGATTCCTATAAGAT